ATAAAGTTGCACTCCTTCACGAGGAAAAAAGAATTACACGCAAAAAATTGCATTATACAAACAAGAAGTTTAATATGGTAGTAAATAAACATGAAATTTTTTCTTCTAATAGTTCAAATACTGACTCTCCTAACACTAGAGTATTGAGCAAAGAAAATAAAGATTTTAATTTAAGTTGTCTTCTCCATGATCGCAAAATAGTAACATTTCAAAATGGAAGGTATTCTAATGATATAAGAGAAGTTATTATGGAGTTATTTTCTTTGAATGTCAGCATGAACAAAGTTAATGAAGTAACCACAGTTGTTTTAAAAAAAGTAGCAAAGGTAGATATAGAAAAGCTGCCCTCAATTGGTACAAAATCTTGATTTATGTCTTAGCCATTAGTACTTGCTCAACTTCAAGTTGCAGAAGAAATGATAAACACTTTAGAAAATAATTCGGGCAATTGTCTTTATAGTGACGATACCACTAAACATCATAGACATTTTCAAAATTTCAAAGTTACTACCAAAAACGGAAGTAATTTATCTTTTGGACTATGTGAAATTGATGGCAGTGATGCAGATTATATTATTAATGCATTAACAAAAAAATTAGATGATATATGTGACGTTTTAGAAATTAGACTTTGCAGTATTGGATCTTTTAATTTGTACAAAGCCTAATGCCAAAAATACAAGCTATACAAGCTTATACTATGTGGTATAAAAACAAAACACTAGACTGGTTGGATAAAAAGACTTTAGGTGAACGTGATTCAATGCTAAAAAATGCTTCAACAAACTTTAGTAAAATGAAAGATAAATACAAACAACCCCATTTAGAATTAAAGTTTGAAATGAGTGAATTTTTTTTCTGAAAAGCATAAAGCTAAAAAAGCAGCTGAAGGTAAACCCTTCTTCAAAAGAGCTAAATCGGTTAATGAGTTGTTAAATTTGGGGACGAAGGTGTGGTTGACCTCAAAAGAAGCAGAGATTTTTGTTGAGTTGTATTTCCAAGGCTTCCCTAACTTTCCTATTAAAACTATTTGTTTTCGATTTTTAACGTATTGCGACCATTCCAGTTGAATTTTCCTTGGCAAATTTTGGAATGTTCAGCTACAGCTGAATTTTCCCCTTTATCTTGTTTGATGCTGGCATATCCGAGACGATATCTTTAGTCCAGTTTCACCAACATAACATTTGCCACAAGAGCACTTTAATTTGTAAACACCGGGAAAGGAATTAACTGGTAGTGTAGGTTTATTTTTGGAACTTAGTAGACTTTGGAGATTTTTTGGAGACTTAAACACTGGTGCGTATCCTGCTTTTTTAAAAGCTCTTCTTAACTTAGGACTGATTCCAAGGATCCAGGGTAAAGACACAATTCTTTTTGAAGACTTTAGGAAATGTTGATTTTTCGAGTGATCTTTTTTGTTGTTGTTGTTGTTAAGACTTTCTTTCGTAAACTTAACTAGTTTTTCCAGACTTTTTCTCTCATAGCTGTTTTCTACAAATACATCGATAAGAAATGACAACTCATAATCAATGTTATATATTGTGCATAAACGTAATGCTCTATGGACGAAACCAATAAAGACACCATTGATAATTTTAGGGTCATGGCACGAGTTCGGTTTAATTAGAACGCTTGTGATTGCATTTTTGCGATGTATTTTAAAACTATATGTACCGATTTTATTGTTGGTAACTGAAACATCAAGATAGTTTAAGGTATTGGTTAAGTCAGCAGATTCCATTGTGTATTGAATATTTTTGTGTTGTTTGTTAAGTAGATCTAAAAACTTTTGCGCATCTTCTTCTACCTGGAACTTTGAATGTATATCATCGACATATCTTTTAAATGATTTCACATGGATGTTATTGTTAAGCGCCAATGAAAGAGCGTTACTTTCATGATATTGTAAAAAACACTAAGCAACTACCACCATAAGAGCTAACCCAATTGGTCCGGAGTTTTCAAGCTCACGAATATCATTTTCATATAAAAAATAGCAATGAGAAAGACAAACTTCTAAAAGTAGCCTGATTTCTTCAAAAGATAATTTAGATATAAAGCTCTGGTTGTTTCTCAATCTTTCAACTAGTATAATGATTGCTTCTTTAATCGGGACCGAAGGGTACAAATTAACAACATCAAAGGAGACCTGAACCTCGTTCTGATCGATTTCCCATAGTCTTGCTGTATTCACAAACTGTTGAGAATTTTTTAAACGAGTTTCATTTAAGATTAGAGTTGCTATATGTAGGTGAACCAATGGTGTTTATGAATAATTTTTTTGTTCACCTACATATAGCATCTCTAAATATTTAGTCAATATGGTACAACCAACTCTATTAAATAGGAAAGTTAGGGAAGCCTTGGAAATACAACTCAGCAAAAGTACCTTTCGCGACAATGGTCTTAATCGAGATGATGGCGATTATGTAACGACGTCATTTTGGAAACCCATGTTTAAATTCTTACGTCACAAAAAACTCACTTAAATAACTCACTTAAAAAGAAGCTCTTACAAACAACATTGTTTTGTTAATTTAAACAGTTTTTATATAATATAGCGGTTTTATTTTTTTATAACGATTTTTATATACTTGATAACGAGGGTATCCATATTCCCTCGAAATATCGTAAAAATAAATATAATTTTTGTAAAAAAAAATCAATCCATAAAAAGAAGTTTTATTTTAAAATATTTATACAATAAAATCTATTAATGATGTCAACATTTAAAATATATATATATATATATATATATATATATATATATATATATATATATATATATATATATATATATATATATATATATATATATATATATATATATATATATATATAAAATATGTAAAATTCAATAAAAACGGCTGCGTATAAACTTTTTAAAATATATATTTGTTTTTATTTTAATATATTTTTTCGATATTTCGCTGATCTTTTGTGATCAGCGTCATCAGGTTTTTATTGAATTTTACATATTTTATTATTATCGTATAACAAGAAAATGACTTTTAAAGATTATATATATATATATATATATATATATATATATATATATATATATATATATATATATGGATATATATAGATATATATATATATATATATATATATATATATATATATATATATATATATATATATATATATATATATATACATATATATATATATATATATATATATATATATATATATATATATATATATATATATATATATATATATATATATATATATATATATATATATATATATATATATATATATATATATATATATATATATATATATATATATATATATATATATATATATACAGGGCCGGCGCGAGTAGGTGTCACGTAGGGGGGGGGTTGTCAATACATTTTACCGACTAAAAAAGACCAGATGTACCAGTCTTGCAATCAATAAATCTTAAGAAATCCTCGCAAATCTCATTATTTGAATTTACATATCTTAAAACAATTGACATTTGTTCAGTATTTGAACAGTCAACTGCTTCATCACAAAGAATTGAAAAAAAATTGAATGCTTGACATTTTTTATTAAAACTTCCTCAATTGCTTTCCCACAAGAATCAATAAGTTGGTTTTGGGTAGTTTTTGATATATAGGTTGCATTTTTTGGACTTGAAGAAAGATGATTAGCTAATATTTGATCATCAGCATCAACACAAAAATTTAAAAACTCTATGAAGTTACCAACTCCAACTTTTTGTGTAGAAGATTCCCCAATATCAGGATGATATTTGCTATCATCACAATGTCCACGAAATGCTAGATCGTTTCTACCAAGAAATATTATTGTTTTAATTATTGGAACTAATTTTTTTCGGTTATCAGAAAGAAGTTTCAAACGAGAATTATTTAAATCAACCTCAATAACATTACTTTTGGAATTGCAACGTGAAAGCAATGCATTAAATGAAAGCATAGATTTTTCATGTAAAACACAATTTTCCTCATGTTTTCTATAATCACAAATAGCATTACTCCACTCTTGATGGGGCTTGAAAACTAAATTTAATATTCCAGACTTATTTGGAATACTAGCACCTAGCAAAGTACAAGAAAGACAGTAAGCTCCATCTTCTTTGCTAGAATAAGCTAACCAAGAAAACTGGCTGAGCCATTCAAATTTAAATGATTTGTTTGTATTAAAAGATATTGGAAAAACAAACATAGAATTAGGACAAAATACTTTGTTTACCATATCTAACAAAATAGAATCATCTTTGCCAGCGATTAAAAGTTTACCTCGAACAAGATATGTTGAAACATCATACAAAGAATTTAATTCATTATATGAAGGAATAATAACTGAGTTGGAGTCTAATGACTTAACTATTTTTGAATCTACAGAAGGTTCAAAAGGCAACTCTATGAAAGCATTGTTTTGTTTAAAGTTAATTTTAGATTGAATTTTGACATGTTTTGCAGAATAAAGTTTTTTTTTTTTTATTTGTTTCAGTTTTAGGACTAAAAAAGTGTAAAGGATAAACGATGTAGCATCGTTTTTTATAGCCAAATTCTTATTATTACTAGAAATTAGTTTAGGCTTTTTAATAATTAGTGCAAAATGGTTCGGTGTCCAGTTATTATTATTTTGCATCACTGACATAATATCAGTATTACAAAAGTATTTAAAACTGATGACAAAGCAATTAGACATAAAAATGAAGAAAACTTGTTAGCTCGGCAATTGATCAATGCTTCTATTATTATAATTTCAGAAGCTGATTCACTGTTAATTAATTTAAATTGATCTGAACATTCAAAAGAAACACAGGCTACTAGAACACTGGAAAGATTAGAAAAATTATTGTTTTCAACCTGTTTATGCCAAATATTTCTACGACGATCACACGTCAATTAGATGGAAATCAAGAGGTATTTTACTAGGTTATCACAGCGGTTAATTAATTTAAGGGATAGAATATTATTACTTGGTTTTGGTATTTATAAATTGGATTTAGCGTACGAATTATAAATACCAAATTAAATCTTGTGTTTTTCCTCGAAATTATACAGAAAGATTTATAATAATATTATAACGATATTATACAGAAAGATTTACTTATTTTAATAGAAAAAATAAATTAAAAAGTTAACTAAATATAAAGGTAATTCACTAATAATTTATGTTCGATATTTAGAAGCTGCTATGTTAGCTAGCATTCGATTGCCTCCGAGGAAAGTCAAACCGCCAACTATTGCAAGACCTTTTAATGTTTGAAACATGTTCTAAAATAATCATATTAAAAATTAGTATAATATTGTCGAAGATTTAATAAAAAACTTTTAAAAGAAACAGTTTAAAGGTGCTTACCAATTGAAGCCAAAACATATAGTATAAAGCAAATACTCCTGCCAACCCGACGTGAAATAATAACGCAGGAATAGAAAATTGAAAATTAGAAAGATTTGCACCAACTTTGTACCACTAAATAAATTTAAAAAGTATGAATGTAGGGACTTCTCGGAGAAATTATTATAAAAACTTACTAATTAAATTTACAACTTGAAAGGCTAAAATTTACCATAGCAAACATGACTAGAAAAGGAGATAAGGCCAAAACTGTAAATGCAGATGAAACAATGGCAGGGGGACGTGTTTCTGGAACTCTAAACATATGCTAAAAAACAATTTTATAAAAATATTTTAGAATAACTGTTTTTTATTTTTTCAAATGCAAACTAAATCAATTTTTTTATTAACCTCTATCACTGGTTTAGGAGTAACAATTCTTTCCTGGCGTTTAGATTTCTTTGGTTGACCAGCAAAGTTAAGAACTATTTCACCCTATGAGTAGTTATAGTTAAAAATTAGTACAGAAAAAAATTCAATACAATAAAAGTTATTTATGTAAAATTTCACCTTCATTCCGTCCTAGAGACTCATCATTTTATAAATAAGTTAACTCTTGTATATAATCATAAGGTGTTTTAACAGGATTAGAATTATATTGTAATCCCACTGGGTAATGCCAAATAAAAATTATTTTTTACAAGGCGACCAAAGAGGGTTCATGGTACTTTAACCACATATTGACTAGTGAACATATAATAAAATTCATTAGCTTCGAATATGGTTAAATTTCATTAAAACATAACATTAAATTATATAAAAGAACAACTGTAATTTCTTTTTCAAATTACTTTAAATATATTGAATTACTAATTGATGAACACTTACTATTGACCAACTAATAGGAACTTGGACAGTTGAATCTCCAACAATTAGTGACTGTAAAAAAATAAATAATTTATTACTATAAAATTCATTAAAGAAACAATAGGAAACTTAACAGACTTTGCCTATAATTTTTTTCACTTAAATACAATTACAAATTAAACATGATTTGCACCTAAATATAGTTCTATAATTAGAAAAAAATGTAAAACACGGTAATTATAAAAACTGTAATTATAAAAAATTAATTAAGGAGAATACTCGATACTAAAAATGTTTTTAAGGCATGAAGCAACAAGTCATACTAAAAAAATGACTGTTGAGATTAACTTAATATTTTCTATAACCTTTACACAGAATGCATTATCAAGCCTAAAAACAAGATCAAATGCAACATAACTGTTTTAAGGTCAACAAAATAAAAATTATTAAATTATACCATTTTGTACTTTCCAGATAAATTGTTAAAGGAGTCCTTAGCTGTTGCTCCAACATCCTAAATTAATCAATTAATAGATACTCAACATAACTACTAAAGTTAAACATCACACTTAACTATGAAATTATACTTACACGAGTAAACTTATACTTACAAGAGTAAACTTATAATTGTCAGCACTGTCAGGCTCACTAACAAAAAAAATCTCTTGACCAGTAAGTTCATGAACTAGACGTACAAAAGCTTGATGCACAACCACTGACTGACCAGAACTGATTTCTTTTAAATTAAATTTGATAACAAGAGTTTGATGATAATCTGCCTCCAATACTGAAGAAAGCTTATTTGGATAAACTAGCCTAAAAACAAAATTAAATATGAGAAAACAAGACTAATTTAATTATTGCATTATAATTGCTAAGAAAACATAATGAAATTCAAAGATTATAAAAATACATACTGAGATTCATGTTTTTTAGAAGCTTGATCTTTTTCACCAATTTCAATAAAAACATCTTCTACTGCAATCTTAGAAACAACTTTAACTTTGATAACATAGGTGTCTTTTACGATATATTGCTTTTGATCACCAATATTAACTTGAACATTACATTTATACATTCCTCGTGAAGGGTTAGTGCTACCAACATCAACATAAAAAGAATTAGCAGGAAAATAACCCCTGGCAACCTCTCCCTCAACAATTATGTAATCATCTTTCTCTGGACTTTTTACAAAAACTTGGTTATCAAAAATTATTCTTTCATCAGAAGTAACAAACGAATTAACATTAACTTGAACATTATTCAATGAGACATCAAGCAGATTTGTTACTCTAACTTTTAATAGTGGATTCTCTTTTGAAATCACATCTGTATTAAAGACAGATACAACCAATGGAACTTGATGCTTAAGAGATTAAAAACAGAGCTAAAAAACTAAAACTTAAATAAGGCAAAAAGTGAAAACACAAAATTTTCTAATTATCTACTCAGATTGGTTTATAGTTTCATAAAATCTCAAAGTGAGCTGAGAATTTATCATCATTGTAGAACTGGCATCTCAATAACTTTAAAAAATTAAAAATTACCTTGTTATTAGATAATGATGAAAGAGCAGATGTTAGATGGTGAATATCTTTAAGTAGGTAAACATATTTTCGGTTCAGGAAATAATTAGCGAACTTATTAATTTGATCCTAAAAAGATTTGATGTTTGGTAAATCTTTATTATGAAAAAATTGTTTAAAAAAAAAATATTAATATAAGAAATAAATTAAATATTAATGCCTCAGATAATACATGCATTGCATACATCTTATAATGTCTTGAACAAATTCAGGGCAAGGATAACTTACATCATTGGCATTGCTTAAAATAAAATTTTATATAACTTACTACTTTCATTAAGGATTTGCCCTGCTGATCTCCTAAACTTATGATACCTCGTACTATTTGCGATGTTAAAGCTAATCCACCTTCAAACTAAAAAAAATATAATGAAATTTAACACTTACAAAATTACTATTTATTTCGGAGAAACACTAAACACTCTCAGAATTAATAGCCAACTCAACATTTAGTTCAGTAAGCGCATGGATATTATTCATCACAGAATGAACCTTGATTTAAATAAACTTTGAAAAAGTTTATTATGTATAATTTCTATAATTACATATTTATCTTGTGACAAAGTTACAATATAGGAGCATAAACTATAATGTAGAAGAAAACATTACAATTAAAAATAAAAAAAATATTAATAACATTAAGATAAACAAATTTTAATGGCAATTTACTTGTAAATACTCATTATTAACTTCATCTGCCTGCGCTAAAACATCCTAAAATATTAAAAAAGAATAATAACAAAATGGTCAAGGTTAATAAATATCAACAACATCAAAAAAATGTCAAAAAACCTCAGCCTGACGTGCTTCTCAACATAAAGCTTTTGACAGGGATAACTTTATATCATCATGGGTTATGACATATTTTTATAAAAACAGATCAGCATAAATGACTCACATATGTTATAGAATATTAGTAATTATTGGAAATCTTATTTAAAGTTGCTATGTTTTGATTAAATTGATTTTGTTATAATTACTTTATGACTTGTACACAAATATTTGGCAACTTAATAAAATTGAATAACTATTCATTTTTGCCAATCAAGCTTAATCATGGTTAAGGTTACAATAAAATATCCCTATTAGAAAAAATTAGAGTTCTTTGTACTTAATCAACGTTTAGCATTTTTTGAAATAACCTAAGAAGTACACAATATACCTCAGCTGGTTATTTTTATATTTTTCAAAATGGTTGATGCATGTATATACTTTTAAGCAAAACTAATAAAATATACTTGGTAAAACAGTCAACAAATAAATCATAGGGCAACAACCTATCTATATATGCTCACAGTGCAGTTATCTAATGCACTACAATAACGCAGGTTAGAACTTTAAAAACAATTATGTATTGCCTAATATTGATCTCTAATAAGAGTATGGTTATTCATAATATTCAAGTAATTTAAAAAAAAGGATAACACTACTAAGAAAATTAATTAGAAATTTATTATAAATTTGGCTCAGTGGGACTGTTGAAATTTCATTAAATCAATTAACATGAATCATCAATGCCAACTGTAATACTTTTCCAACTTAGTTATGTTAGAACTTAGAAGAGATTAGTAATTACAAAGAAATAAGTTACCTCCACCATTGAAACAATAGGATTTAATACGTCAGATTTAGGTAATACACTAGCAGCATAAAATAATATCGCAGCACTAAAAAGATTACAAATTACTTTTTTAAATGTATTATGGCTACAAATGACTAATTAAATAAATATAAAATATATGTAATGTTTAAAATAAATAAAAATACTTTGCAGGAGAATCATTCTCTTTACCAATTTTAACAAACTTTTGAATCGTTTCACTTGTAACTATAACAAAGTTTATATCAGTTATAAACTACAAATAAATTGACTAATGGATTGAAATTTCTCTAAATCATTAATTTATATAAATAAAGGTTTGAACTTAAGGCTCTTGTTATAATCTAAACTAACTATGATATTAAAGGGCATATGGAATAATATTTAAACTAAATACCTTATTAATAATATGATTTAAAAATATATAAACATTAGTTAATATGATTGTGACAAATTTCATTATATAAAATATAACCTGGGTAACCAAGATTAACCATTGATACAATGGCCCGCGAATAAGCAACTGAGTCACTGTCATCATTTAACAATTCAGAAATAGCAATCAATGGAACATTCTAAAAACATAACTTTTATATTGACATGTTCAAAGGTTTAAAACATTAAATAAAAATTTTAATACTTGTAATTATATAATCATAACCTTTAAGACAACATAAGTCATAATAATCATGTTAAATGCATTAATAACTTAAAATTTGATTATTATTAATTAAATATGTATTATAATGACTACTTTAGCAAGAGACAATACCTTTAAGTAATAAAAATAATAGGATTTAAAAATGAATATCTTTTCTATCATATAAATATTTTTATTTTTATATATAATTTTGAAACATAAGAAAACTCATGAATTTCCTTGATCTTTATTTGAATTTATTTTTACACTACTATATATTTCTATATTACTATTAGATATTATTTATATATACTTTTCACTATAAATATTTTTTAAACACCATTGTTATAATAATTTAAGGATATATTTGTAAATTTATATTTATATACACATGAATTTTATATTTGAATAAACAAACATGACTTTAAATATTTTAATAAAATATTAAATATTAATATTAATAGCATTATAATAGTGACATCTCAGGCTGACGTGCTTCTCAACATAATTTTATGACAGGGATAACTATAGTTCATCATTGATGTCATAGGATTAATAAACTAAAACTCACCTTACACTTTAAAATCTTGGCAATTTCAGAGACTTGAAAAATGTCAACAATTAATTTACTATTAAACAATTGGAAAACAGTGTTGCAATAATGATCAGCAAAAGCAGGTTCTTTACCGATCGCATTTAGAGAGGTAACCGCATAATAAATCGACTTAAGATCATTTTGCTTTTGTTGGAGTTGAATTGTTATCCTTTGCTGTTCACCAAGAGACAAAGGTGTATATAAACAAGAGCATCTTCCAATCAAAAGCAACGAAACTCCTGTAATAAATTTTAAAAAAAACTTAACTTATGTCGTGCTTATTTATTGGTTTATGTCTCTAACTTTAAACAACTCAGATAGATAGGGTAAGTTACACATCAGGCATCAGCAGCAGAACTGGCCATTTACCCATTTCATCACAGTTAGTTTAATGTAATTTATTACTGCATAAATCAAAAATAAAATTTGACTTTACCTAGCACGATGTACGCCAACATGACTTCACTGCATCAATTCTTTTCATTGAGAGGTCTGTAGGTCTTGAATAGAATTTTATAAGTTCCTAAGACTGGTAACAAGCTAACGCTCACGTGTCAGTTAGAGATTTAAGTATCAAAAAAATTTAATATTTTTCGAAAATGTACTAATAATTGTTTATATCTAACAATAAACAATAATTAATAAAAAAATTTATGAAAAACATATAAAATTTGTGTTTTTCAAGTGAAAATTGTAAAAATCAAAAAAAATATATATATCTATCTTGCTTATCAAAATAGTAAGGTTTATACTGCGGAAACTTACTAACTATTAACAAAAACATGGAGGGGGACTTTAATTCGCCAACATACCTAATTAAAATTGCTGAGACATGTCCTGAAAAAAGTTTAAGCTATTTAAAAGATTCTTTAATTTCATCTAACTTAACTGTAATTGATGAAAAAATTTCTGGTAACAGAATCTTATCTGTACAATGCTCATTTTCTAATCTTTGTATTCAGGTAAGAACCAAACCAAGTCTTGCAAATGATGTCGCTAAATGAGGAGGAAAAAAAAGCTCTAAAAATTTAAGTTTTTTTTTTTCCTCATTTAGCGACATTATATCAAGGTTGTGGACCCAAATTTGTTAGCACTTTAAAGAAAAATTACATATTTAATATATTACTAGGTAAAATTTTGACGTCCAAACTCCTTGGTTTGGACGATGAGACAAATATGAAAACACCTAAAGTGAGACAAATAAGAAAACACCTAAAGTGTGAACAAATATATTTAAAATACTTTAATTAAAAATATTTATATACTTGGCTAGCATTCTAGCTTTTACATAACCTAAACTGTGTCTAATTTTTCTCTATTTTAAACCATCAAGAAGATATCATTAAAAAGTAAGGTTTATACTGCGGAAACTTACAAACTAATAACAAAAACATGGAGGGGGACTTTAATTCGCCAACATACCTAATTAAAATTGCTGAGACATGTCCTGAAAAAAGTTTAAGCTATTTAAAAGATATCATTAAAAAGGCAATAATAAAATACAAAAAAGAATTTTTCGAATTTTGGTGTCAACTAATGTAATAAAAAATGGCACCCAAACTTTTGTTGTCACATCACTGTCATCCCTTTTAGGAACTTTTTAGCCGCTTTTAATCCAAACTCTTGTTGAATTTTAGCTTTTTTTATTTCAAGTGGTTCCTGAATTTTCTATACTCTGGAGCAATAGATATGGTTTTGGGATGCAACCTGTCAAAAGTACCTTGGGATGATTTGGAATGTTCAGTAACACCCAAACTAGCCCATTTTCCTTTTATACTATTTTTTTTATGCTCAATACATTTTGATATAATTTTCTTTTTAGTTTTACTGGTATATATTAAATTGTATGAACACTTTAGTTGGTAGGGTCTGGATTTTTATTTGGAGGAAGTTTTGTCTTATTATTACAGAATATACTGTTTAAATTTGGAGCTGATGTGAATATAACTTTTATGTTTTGTTTCCTAAGTTCTTTTCTAAGTTTGAGATCAATAATTGATAAACATAGTAGCTTTATAAATATTTGGTTGTACATTGGTAAGTAATTGATATTTTTAAAACGCTTTTATATTTAGTCTTTTGTGAAACTTGTTAGATTGTTTTTGTCATACCCATTTTCAACAAATATTTCTTTTTGAAACTAAATTTTTTGTTGGAGATATTTTTGAGAACATATTCTTTTTTATGGCATAAAACCCTTTGAATACACTAATGATAATACTTGATGCTGGAGTTAGGTTTGAGTTGAGTATTAGTAGTTGCTTTCCTATTTCATTTCGATGTATTAAGTTCCATTCTTTGTGCTAGTAATATTAAAATCTAAAAAATTAAATTGTTTTTTGTAGTTTTTGAGTTTAATGGTGTGTTTTATGAAAGATATTTGTTCATTGAGGATATTTAGAAGCATTTGTTGCTTTTTTACTGAGCCGAAGCAAGTGTGACAATTGTCTGTAGTATAGGACTTTTCTTTCTATATTCTGTAGAAACACTTCTGCTATAAAAACCATTAAAGACAAACCTTTAGGTCCTAAATTAGGTATTATTCCGATTTTTCATATGAATATTAAGTTATAAAATAGTTTAAAAAAGCATCTGTTCCTTTATCATTCCTTCATCAGCTCCCTGATGATCCTGTTTATATTTGAAAGAGAAACTGTCAGTAAAGGAAAAAGTTAGATAAGTGTTTTTATAATAATTTGTGCACATATTTATGAATTTCAGGCTGAGAATTTAGAACTTCTTAAAGACGTTAATAGTCCAGAAAAGGTAGGCATGTTAATTGTAAATGTTTATATTAGTTTGACAGTGAAACACATTTTAATATAAATTAATGTGTTATGTGTTTTCTTGCTTATTTTGTTGACATATCCTGTTTTCAGGTTAGAGAATTTAATCAAAAAGACTTGCTTTCATTTAAGTTTGACTCAAAACAAACTTTCTTTACATCTGCAGAACAGCTGTTTCTGTTGGAAAACATATTGCATAATGTCAAATTTTCAAAGGTTTATATTTTTTCCCCTTTTAATTTAAATATCAATAAATTTAAAGTTTTGTTTTGTTAATCATTTAGGATTTAGTTTTTATTACCCATTTCATTCTATTTATCATATTTCAGGACGAGTTTTTAAGAAATGGTTTAAAAAGCTTTGGTGCAAGCGATTCTATTCTAACAGGATGTTTGCATTCCAACCCATGTATCATTGAGAGCTACACACCAATGCACCAGCAAGACGAACTAAAAAAGTTATGGGGAAAGGTTTTAAAAAATCCTTTCATAATTCCAGTAAATGATTTAAGAGATTATTATGGTATGTTGTTTAAAGAACAAGAATTTTTAATTGTTTTATTAAAAGTGTTATATACTGTTTAAAAGAAGAAAGATTAGACCAAAGTTGTTTCCTGTTTGTTATGATTTTTTGACTTAGCATATCCTTTATATATATATATATATATATATATATATATATATATATATATATATATATATATATATATATATATATATATATATATATATATATATATATATATATATATATGTATGTATATATATGTATATATATATATATATGTATATATATATATATATATATATATATATATATATATATATATATATATATATATATATATATATATATATATATATATATATTAAACATCTTTGCCTTCAACAAGGCTGCAAGCAACCACTAATTAGTGTTGGAAGTTACTTTAAGAGAAAAGGTGAAGATTGTTGAGCAAGATAACAATTGACAGATGACTTCAAAAATTGCAAGTTATATGAATCAGGAAAGCAAGATGAATGAAGCGAATTCCAAAGAACTGATGTTTGAGGGAAAAAACTAGATGAATAAGAGTTTTTAGAGCACTTAGGAACAGTCACAGAAAGGATGAGACTTAATTGAATGACGAGTAATACAAGAGTGAATTTTAGTAGATGGCACAAGAGACGCTAGCTCTTTAGAGCAGTGTCCATTATAGTATTTGTAGAAAAGAGAAAGAGAAGCAACATTACAACAATGTGATAATGGCTGAAGGTTGGCTGCAAAAGCAGGTCCAACAATATTTACAAAAAAATTTTATTTACTTATCATTTATTAGTTTTATATTTTTATTAGTTTTTATTTCTCTTTCTAGTTATATATGTATATATATATATATATATATATATATATATATATATATATATATATATATATATATATATATATATATATATATACACATTTATATGCGGTAGTGGTAGAGCTCTTGCTTTATAAACAAGTGATTCTGAGTTCGATCCCCACCACATCCCTGGTAGTACCGGTCTCAACTTGTTTCTCCGCGCATTGGCCTTGTTCATCAAGGTTTGTGTTTCGGAGTTATAGAAAAATGATTTTTCTTTAAGCTGGTCATTTTCATTTAATAAATTGAGGGCAACGAGGTTGCATTGACTTTGGCACCAATGCTAACTTTGGATTTCATCTTGAATCACAAATGTGTAGTTTTTTTTACCAACTTTTCTTTTTTTTTTTGCCTTAGGTATCTTGCTTGACATTTAGCAATGTAGGAATGAGCTGTTAATTTGTTAGTTGCCTTTGATAACATCAATTTGTATTCTTAAATTGTTGTTTTTTGACAGATCAATGTTGTTCTGTCTGATTTCTTTTTAATTCAAAATGTTTTAAATTATACAGTGTAAAATTATGTTAAAATCATTATTTTAGATGGGTGAATTTTTTTAATCCATATACTTCCAAATCAAAAATCCTATAGAAAAAATCCAAAATCCTACTTTCTTAAAGCATTTTAAGAAAGGTTATTTGAATACAGAATGTTCAAAAACGGAATGGGACAAATATAAACCAAAAAAAATTTTTTTAAACAATATTTTCAATATTTATTAATAATCAACTTTATTAATAATGTAAATATTTAATATAAATTATTATATAGTAAATTATTAATATACAAAAAAAATTTTTTTTTGAGAAAAGTGGGAAATTTCCCCCAGTGTCCCAGCCCTCAGTTCATTTGCCCTGAAAACAATTTTAATCCACGTTCATCAGGACTACACAAATACTGGAATTTTCAGAGCTCCAGTTTGTCTGAAAAGTAATGAAAAATCTATCGCAAGATTCCACTACAAAAAGTGGTTCTCCCCCCCCCCCCTCCCACACACACACACCTATTTTTATTTATTTTTTAATATCATCAATGCCACATGGGTTTCTTGAGCATCAAAATCAGGTATATAAAATATTGCTAAAATTTATTTAAATTGATAAATAGAAGTACTTCAAAATATTTTTTTACCTTTCTGACTTTCTGATCATTTCATTGGATTTTCCACCCCTGAAAAAAGCCAGGTACAAATTTTTAATTAAAAAGATAAAATATTTTTAAAGTTATGTGACTTTAAACCTCTAAATAAATGTTACCATTCTGAATGGGCAAGAGAGGCCTGGCCAATATGTAAAAGTCAGCAAAATCTGAGATATAGGGTGACATTTTGAAAATTTCTGGGTCATTTGACATGGAATTACCCGGAATAAAAAACCCAGTGAATTAACATTTAAAAAAAAAAATTATATTCTTTTTATAAATAAACTTCAATAACTTTATATCATGCTTAAGTTTATTTATTGAACATCAATCAGACTTTGGTTCAATTTGCATATATGCATACACATTTCACTGTTAAACTACCATTTAATATACATTTTTTAATTTGTGTGCATCTTCCATTCTTGAAATTTTTAAATTTTAGTGTTAAAATTTCTTCAAGTAAAATTTAGCAACTCCTACTGATAATTTTCCTTAGCAATATAGTTTTATTTAGTCTTTACTGAATATCTCTCTAGTCTGTCTTAAATGTGCAAAAACAAGAAAAAATTAATAGAATAGTTTTATTTTTCTTTATATTGTATATAACATAATAAGTTTTTATTATGCATTATATATATCTATATATATATATTAAATTTATTGTTCTGTTATTTTAAAAACACTGAGCTCTCTATTTTGTAGAATACATTTAAAATTATTCATGTATATATATATATATATATATATATATATATATATATATATATATATATATATATATATATATATATATATACAGGGGTGTACACTCGATTTTTAGATGTTTGAGTTTTGACACTTACAGGCATTGTGCAAACTCCAAACTTTTGTATGTTCATGCTTATGTCAAATGAGGATGTTTTGCAATGAATTGTGGTGATTGGAGGTTGGGAACAAAAAAACCCTAATTTTTGGGCCCACCCGGCCCTTAATGTGGGAGCAACAACTTTATAAATTATTTTCTATACTATTTTTGTTTAAATCAATATTCATCAACAAATTTCAAATTTCAGGCAATAATCTTTTAGTGTTCAGTTTTTATGACCCTGCAAAGTTTAGAGCCCCCTGTATGTATGTATGTATGTATGTATGTATGTATGTATGTATGTATGTATGTATGTATAAACCTAATTTTCAAATTATTTATATTAAAAATATTTTTATAGGGGAAGATGTTGCTTATTATTTTGCTTGGATGAGCTTTCTAACCTGGTCTTTAATACCAATAGCTGTTATTGGTATATTAATTTTTCTTCATCAACCAAATGAATCAGCAGATGATAGCCATTATTTGCCATTTTATGCTCTTGGAATGGCTTTGTGGACAATAATTTATACCAAAGTAATTGTTTTAAAATTTAATTTTTTTGTTGTAAAATTTAATTATTTTGTTGTAAAATTAAAAAAAAAAAAATCAGTTCTCATTAACAATTTAATTTCACTTTGTGTTTAGTTGTAAATACTTTTTGATCTTTGAAAAATTTTAATTTTTTAAATTTGTATTTTTCTCACAATTTGGGAAAATATTATGTTGTTTTTTATGATGCACAATTTTAATGATAATACAATTCATAGATTAAACTTTCAAAAATAAATTTATTGATAAGCTAAGTGTAACAAGATAAACTTGAATATAAAATATATAAAGTAAAATTTAAAACTTGTATCAAGGTATCCACCAATATTAACTTTATGTTATGATTTGCATATAACAATAAAGTCAATTAATTAGTTTAAAATGTTGAAAAACCTTAAAAGTTTACTTAAAAGTTGAAAAAATTAATAGTTATAACTAGGGATGTCCCGGATAGCATTTTTTAATTATCCAGTCAGATATCGGATATCAGGATATTTAACAATTATCCAGCCGGATATCCGGTCAGATACGTATAATGTAAGGTAAATATTACATTAAGACAAAAGTTACCGTAATAACCCTTCAAAATGGCAAGTTTTATTTGGAAACTTTTTAAAATTAGTGATAAGTGTGATTCTTCAGCTATTTGCATTCCATGTGGAATGCAGATAACCAGAGGGTGTCGTAGATCTGGTCAGCAGTCAAAAATCAAAGAAATATAACTGGACTTTTATCAGTTGTTATTAATAGAGCTACCAGCTTCACCACCATTATCTCCAATCATTTAACGCTAAAATCCAAAAAAAAGAAGAGAATGACTTTAGAATATTAGAATATTTAGAATAAACTTGCAGAATATGAAGGAAATTTAGGTAAGATAATCTCAAAACTTTTTTGATAAACAGAAAAACTTTTTATTAAGTTTTTTTTTTTAATAACAGCTACTAACTGCATGTTGTTGGTTTATTGATTTAAGTATTTTATACTTGTTATTGAATGAAAATATATAAATAAATCATCTTTAGTATTTAAATTCTTTTATATTACAAAACAAAATGGTGAAATAAATCCTGATCAAGTCTTCCTTGTAAAAGTTGCTCAAGAAGTTGATTTTTTCTTTATCACTCGATGATAGGAAAAAAAAAAGTTTTTAATTATTGGAAACACGAAGAGAAGTTTCCACTTCTAAAAGAGTTAACTCTTTTAGAAGTGGAAAAACTCTGTATTTTCGGAGCAATACTTTTCCGAATATGGAAATATTTACAAAAAAAAGCGATCAAGGCTGTTACCTCAATGTGGAGAAATATTACTATTTATTAATAATGGAAATAAATTTATGAGTGATAAACTGATGTATTAGTAGTGTTTAATTTTAATAGTATATGAATAATAAATTATTATTAATAATAATAACAATATTGAATAGAAACCATTAACATTAGATTATTTAAAAATATAACATTTCTTGGTTTATTAAATCTTTAAATTTTTAAATAACATTAACTTGAAATATCCAGTTTATCCAAAACCGGATAATGTAATTATCCGACCAGATGATGAATATCGAATAATTTTTTAGCTTTCTGTTAAAAATGGGTCTGGTATTAATTTTTTTTTACTTTACAAAAGTAGCTGTAACATTCAAGTGTCTCCACAATAGATTTCTTTTATGATTAATTTTTTTTTAAGTTTGCATTGCTTTTTTCAATAACCTAGCTTTTATAATTGCTGGTTTTTGGCTTTACATATGATAGACAATATTCTTTAAATCTTTCTAACAGTTCTTTAACAATTTGTTTTGATTACAGGTTTTTAATATTTCTTTTTCACCAATAATAAACAAGAGTATTTTTCATCCTCAGGTTTATTTTTTATTGCTGCATTTATATATTACTGTATAGTTTGACTTCATTTTATCCAAGTAATAGCATTGTTGGATTCATTAAAGTTTATTTTGCTTGGCTTTGGCAAAAAGAGTTCTATTTTCTTTTTTTGTTTTGTTTTTTAGATAGCGCTTTTTTAAAAGCATTTTTATAAAATTATTTTTGTACCGATCATTAATCGGTACAAAAATGATTTCTTACTATTTATGGACAACCCCTTGTTTCCAGCATATAATATTGTAATCAAAATTTGAATAATTAATAAGAAAATTAATTATTTTTCACTTTTTTATATGTATCTTGTTTTTTCCTTATATACACCATTCCTAAATTGAGATTAATTTTTTTAGCTGTGGAAAAGAAATGAAAATGTACTTGCACTTTTATGGAAAACGACTGATGTTGAAAAAGTTGATATGATTCGACCAGAATTTTTTGGTGTAACTAGACCAAGTCCTATAACAGGAATAAATGAAAAATACTTTCCTGCATGGAAAAGACGATTTCGCTATTTACTGAGTTTCCTGATATCTATACCTTTTCTTTTGCTAGGAATTGGAGCTATGATTATTTCTTTAAATCTAAATGGTTATATTAGTGACGATAACAGTCCAATACACATACATGAGCTAGGCCACTATGCAGACCCTGTAAGTTTTTACCAAAGCAATTAAATAATTTTATTATAAAAATAAAATAATTATTTATACTTTTTACTGAATATATTATCAATTATATATTATAATATATAATATAATTTTAATGTTCTTTAAAAAACAAAGCAATATTAAATTAGTAGAAAAATACTTATCAAATTTTTTTATTTATCAGAGTACTCATCTGAAATCAAAAAATATAAATATATAGTGGTGTAATGTTACAGTCATCCAGCAGTATGGAAAGAATCTCACAAGAATTTTGCAAGGGGCAACTTTAATTTAGAAAAAATACAGGCTGGGCAATTATATAATTAGATAAATAGTTAGTAAAATATAGAATATAAAGTTTAGTTATTAAGGAATGTAAAATAGTTTGGCAATATTTGTTAAGTAATGATCTTTTTTTTCTTATCATCTGCTAGCTAATTCATTTTGTAATACAAGTCTGTCGATCAGATTAAAATGTGTGAAAGCAAATTTAAAAAAAAAAATTTTTTTGTTTAAGAGAATTCTTTTCGCAAATTAATTTAAAACTTCTTGTTTTTTATTAATTCAATATCATGTAGAGTTCTTTTGATGTAATTTATTTATAAACATAAATTATGTTTAAAAATACCTTACTGGTAACTGATAAAATCTATCGACATATTGTTTATAATCTTTATTAATAATAGTTCATTAAATACATAAAAAAAAAAATTTTTAAATAAAGAATAATTGTGATAAACAAGCAAAAGATTATGTTATGCGGCTGTTTTAAGAAATAAATTCAAAAGTAATATAATCTTTTTCAATTACTAGTAAGTGACCGGGGCGCCGGCTGAAAATTAGACTTTTTGCAGATCCGGCCCCGTCAAAATTATATGATTTAGCAGGGATTGATAGCCGGGGCTAGAAATAAATTTATAATTCTTTATATATTATACTTACATTTACTATCTATTAAATTCTGGTATATTTATGCCAGTATTTAACAAATAAGGACAGATACAGTAAAAGGATGCAACTTGTTGAATAAGAAGCCAAGCAAGAATGAGTTTTGGTTTATTGTAATAGAGATGATAACTTGTTTGAGCATTGACCATGATTAGAGAAACAGCATAAAAGAGGAAGTATAAATGTTTATGCAGTTCTGGTAACAAACCCGGCCCTGGCCCCAGCTATATTTTATCAAACCCGGCTGTTTAAATAAATATTTAGTAAATAAACATTTAATAAATGTTGTTATGAAACTCAATTTAAAAACTTGTTATGAAACTCATTTTAAAGAGAATGGAATGTATGAACAATTCGTTTTCAAAAGATAAAACAAATTTAAAATATCCATTCAGAGTAAAGTTAACTTTAGATTGTTTGAAAATTAAGAGTTTTAAATAATAAATGAGCAAAAGTAAAAATATCTTTATAACAATATTGCGCAATTCAGTCCTGATAATATTTCTGAATGAAACTTTTAAATGAATGAACTTTTGATCTTTCAGGGTTATTGATAATTATATAGCGATTTATTAATAATTATATATCAGTTTATTAATAATTATATATCAGTTTATTAGTAATTATATATCAGTTTATTAGTAATTATATAGCGGGTTGTTTACAATTATATATAATTCATAAAATACCTTTCTTAGTTAAAATTAAAAATACATCCAGTAATATAAATATAAAAAGTGTTGTTAAATGTCAAGTTATTAATTAAATTCTTGTCCTATTATAGCAAGATCAAGATCATATTTCATATGTTAATAAAACACCATAAAATCATCATTCTCATTCATATCTGCTATTACTGTATTAATCTGTTGAATAATATCTTCTTTAGTTTCTGGATATGGACGTAATTTGTAATATCTGTTCTTTAAACAAGAAAATACTTCTTCTATAGGGTTCAACTGGGGAGAATATGGGGGCAGATATCCGTATCTAATATTCTTATCCCTGAAAAATTGAATTATCTGTCCTGATTTATAAAATCTTATGTTGTCCATGATAAGAATTTTATTTTCAAACAATCTTGCTTCATAGCATTGCTTTAGAAATTCTAAGGAAATTTCAGTGTTAAAAGGTCCTTCAATAATTGAATGTTTTAAGATGGCTCTGACTGATATTTATGCAACTAGACTGATATTGCAACTTTTTTTTGCAGCAACAGTTGTAAATGCAGGAGTGTTTTAGGTGAATATCCAAAATTTGGTCTTGAATGTAAATTGAACTCGGTTTCATCCAAAAATAACATTTGAGAATAGTCAATATTTCTATATCGAATAGAATAACTTTTTTCTCTCACTAATTCTTGGTGAACAGGTGACAGAGACTGTTCTTAATCTTTTTCTTGTATTTTCAACCTTCTTAAGATTACAAGATATAGATGGTTGGGATATGGTTATTCCATTATCTTGAAGCTTTCTGGCCATTCCACCCCACGTAAGTGAATTGTCGTCTTGAATACATTCATATAACAACATCTTAGCACAAGAATTGGAGCTTTGCTTGGGGCGACTTTTCTCTAGTAGGTTAAAACAATCACTAAGATTATTCTTAGTTGATATTATAGCCTGCCATTTTCTAATGGTGGATACTCACAAATCAATAGGATTGGCAATTTGAGCTATACTTTCCCCTCTGTCCATTCTTATTTTTATTTGTTTAATTAATGTAGATGAAATTGGAACACTTTTTTTCCTTCTTACATTTCTGACAAGTTCACTTTCATTAAAATTATTTTCCATGGAGCTAAAATAACCAAAAATATATTTAAAATAATAATGATTTTCTGATGGAATAATGTGGTATTAATGGATGAATATATCTTTTTTTTTAAATAAGTTATATACAAAGGCTTTATAATTATTAATAAACTGATATATAATTATTATTAAACTGCTATATAAATATTAATAACCATGTAAGCTTGCTATTTTATTTTAAATGAAAAAATGAAATTAAAACTTTTTCCGAAAGTTTTGTTTCTTTTCCATATTTTTTTTTACATTATTGATAATAAAAATAACAATTACAATAACTTAATAAAAATTTTATTAGTTATTTTTAAACTTCAATGTATTTAATGTTTAAAAAATCTAAAGCAAATGTAACTTATTTAATGCACACATTTTTTTAAACTTTATAATTAAAAAAGTATATATTTCTTTTCATTAAGTTTACTGTAGTCATTGCTTTTATTTAAAAGGTGCCTTAAAGGACTGTAAAAATTATTACCCTTTAGTAAACGTTAAATGAACAGATTTGCTAGTTATATATAGACAATAATTTAACTATTTGAATGCAAGACGTAACAATTTTCAATGAATATTTATAAATAGAATAGTATTTGCAACTTGAGCGTTTATTAAAATCTTAAATAAAATAGTTTTTCTTAGCGTCACTAGAGTAACATATTTTTATGGTAAATTCATGTGTTCAAAGAAATGCCTTTTACAAAGAAACACTATTTTAAATGAACTCCTTATCATTTGAATAAAACTTAATAAGGTTAATTAACACAATTAATTTTTTAACACAAACAATTTTTTATTTAAAAATCATAGTCATAGTACTGGTTTTAGGGGTGAAGAGGAGCTAACTTAACCCCACATACCCATGTTGTCTTAAAAAAAAAAAAATCCCAAATAAACTCTGGGGTTTTTTTACTGCCTGGTGCCTGAATGCGATGGAAAGAATTTCAAAGACCACAAGCACAGGTTGCACAAGTGCAGTAGCATATTTTAACTTATTGTTTGTTTAAACAAGTTTTATAAATAAAAAACAAAGTTAAAAAAAATAATTACTAAAGGTCCAAAAATATGTGATAACCATATAAATTAACCAATTAAAATTATACTAAAGGATAATTCCATATCTCAGATTAATCAGATAAATCTATATCTCAGATTTTACTGATTTTTATTCAGTTGAGAGTACTTAGTAAAATAAGAATTCCTTAAAAAATTTTAGCCTCTGGCTCCGAAGAGATCCTGAAATATGACTATTTTACTTTTAGCAAATATTGACCTAGCTCCTCTTGAGCCCTCAGAATTGCCATGTTTATTTAGAGGTTTCAAGTCACATAACTTTAATAATATTTGATCTTTTTACTAAAAAAATTGTACCTGGCCATTTTCAGGGGTGAAGAATACAATAAATGATCAGAATAATAAATAGTTATTATTAAGTATCTATATTTATCAATTTAAATAAAGTTAGGCCATTTTTTGTATGCCTGTTTTTAATGCCCAAGAAACCAATGTGGCCTTTATTATATCAAAATTTTTTACATATCATTCTATATTGATTGATCTTTCAGAAAACATAAGGATTTTAATCTGGAAGTATAGTAATTTCTATATGTGGAGAATGGGGCTCATTCCCTTTTTTTTTTTTTTTTTTGTAGTGGAGTATTGCGATTGATTTTTCTCTGCTTTCCAGACTAGTTAGAGCTCTAAAAATTTCAATATTTGTGCAGTCCTGATGAAAACATGTTAAAATTGTTTTCAGGGCAGACTACCAGAGGTCCATGGGGCTAGGGCACTAGGGGACATGCCCTACTTATTTCCTCTGGAAAAAAAAAAATTTTACTTTAATAAATACCTATTTATAATACAAATTTATTAGTTAAAAAGTTAAAAAACTTTATAAGCTTAAATAAAGTAAAGGTGTTACTTTTACTTTGAAAATTTTTTTAAAAAAAAATTTTCGGTTTATACTTGTTCAGTTTGCAAAACAAAATACAAAAAAAAAAGTGTCAAGGTTGCTTCGATGTATCAACAATCGAAGTACACATATGTCCAGTTGTTGTTACAGGTGCATCAATGATACAAATTGTGTTGGTAATTAAAACCCATCATTTATTTGCTATAGATGGTTAGAAAGAGTTGTACGAGTGCATCATGAAATCCATCGTCATGAAATGATTTCAATATAATAAATTTCATTTATAATACCAACCCAATGAAACGTATCATATTTACACAGAATAAACTCACCAAATTTATCGATATTAGTTTAAAGACTTTAATTACCATAAAAAGAAAAAATGTCATATTAACATTTTAACTTGTTTGTTTTAAGCTAATATTACCTATAGTTTCTGGGTTCAATTGATGATAGCTATTCGTACAAGGAATTTTTCTACTATTTAAATCTTTTCATGATGGTGGCAAAAAATTTTGTTGTCTATTATTCCACATCTCCAATTAATTCTTCTCTGGCATCTCCATAACAATCAAATCTCTTTAGATCAGTCTTTCTACAATAAATTAATTATAACAAGTATGATTTGACAGTTTTACAAAATCACATGAATCCATTCTTACTGTAAAACTAACTTCTATTTTGCATTTCAGATTAAATTAAAACAAAAGTAATTAATATAATTAAAACAACTTAAATACCATGGTAATGGAAAACTAAACAGCGATTGATTTTGTTTACTTTTTTTTTTTTGAATTTTAAAGACAATTTTTTTTTGTGTTTAACTTTTTATTTGCTGTTTTTTTTTTTTTTTTTTTGGTTACCTCTTGTTTATCAAGGTTGTTTAATTAATTTTTTTTTTTAATTTAATTAATTGTTATTAATTTGTTAATATTAAAAATGTTAATGAAGAATTTAATAGGTAATAAATTTCTTCTATGTGTATTAATAATAATAGTGTAATGACGGTGTTTTTGTGTTACTCTTAATAGTTCTTGTTTAATAAAACAACTTGATGTTAACATTTTAGAATTAACAAGTATTAGTTGATGATTTTAAAAGGTAATAATTTTATTTTTTAATGATGTTATAACAGGATTTTGTTTTTTACTGTTGGATTTTAGTTAATTGAACAACTTGTTGGATTTTAGTTAATTGAACAACTTGTTGTTTTAGCTTTAAAAATATCAACTTTTTTCAATTCAAAAAGTTTAAAATTATACAATGTAAAATTCTGTTAAAATCATTACTTTAGATGGATGACTGTTTTTAATCTGTGTACTTGCAATTCCAAATTCTTATAAACGTGAACATTCTAAAAATATTTTAAAAAAGATCATTAAATATAGAATGATAAAAAGCCTAATACATGTTTATTAGGAACGTGTGTTTGATTTTTGATTTTTTTAACAAACATTCATCAGGACTACACAAATGCTGAAATTGTCAGAGCTTTAGTCTGACAATTTCAGCATTTGTCTGGAAAGTTGTAAAAAATAGAATGCAAGATTCTGCTACAAAAAAGTAGGGCTCATGACCCAGTCCCTCGTGTCTTGGGTCCTGGAAACAACTTTAACATGCATATTCATCAGCAATACAAAAGTGCAAAAAGTTTCAGAGCTTTAGTCTGGAAGGTAGTGAAAAATCAATTGCGATATTCCATATATGGAAATCCATATATAGAAAGTGATGCAAATATATGAAAAATCAATAAATACAGAGTGATGTATAAAGTTTTTATTTTGATATCATTAAGTTCACATGGGTTTGTTGAGCATCAAAATCAGGTATAATTTATAATTTGAATTTATTTAAATTGATAAGGTACAGGTACTTAAAAATAATTTTTTACATTTCCCATGAAAAAAGGTACAAATTTTTATGATCAAAAATTTTTAAAGTTATTTGACATCTGAATAAATGTTGCAATGCTGAATGGACAAGAGAGGCCTAGCCAATATCTACTAAAAGTAAAATGATCATATTTTAGGATCTTCTAGGAGCTAAAAAATATATAATATAAAAATCAGCAAAATCTGAGATATAGGATGACATTTTGAAAAATTTCTGAGTCATTTGACATGGAATAACCCTAAAGCTATTTGGGCATTAATTGCGTACAAAAATTAAAACTTTGAAGAATTTAAAAATTTAAATTTTTAGTTTTAAGATTCATTTTGAAAAAATATGTTTTTGATTCAGCAGGGTCTCAGCTGGTATTTATTCAAACAATATGAATGTTGTATCAGCAGATTCTCAGTTGTTATATATTGATTTAGGGTAATATATTTGCAAACGACAATAAATACTATGGTTGGCTAATACCTACAATTGCTCATTCAATTGTTATCAATATTTTAAACAAACTTTATCGAACAGTTGCTAGTTACTGCACTGATTTTGAAAATCATAAGTAAGCTTTAATCATAAATATACAGACTTGTTTTTTATTTCTGTTTTATTATTTATAAGTATTTAAGAATTGAATTAAAAATTATATATATATATATATATATATTTTTTTTTTTTTTTTGCAGGACAGAACAACAACATAACGATTCATTAATTGCAAAGCGTTTGTTGTTTGAATTGTTTGATTGTTACTTACCATTATTCTACATTGCATTTTATCAACTGGATATTGTGTCCCTTAAACGAGAACTTATTGGATTATTTTGGGGTATTAATGTAGTTAGTATTTTGATATTAATAAGTTAACATGTTAATAAATATAGTATAGATATTTAACTTTAATTTATTTAATAAGTAAAAATATTAAAGCAAATAAAGTTGATTTGAATGTCAGCGCAGTGAACACGTATATCTATTACTGTAGAAAGCAGAAATAAAGAACAATAAAAAAATTTTATCATCAGCTCAATCAGTTGATCTTTTCTCTATTTTGATAAATTATTTTTTTGAAAATATATTTTTCTATTTTGATAAATCCAGGTCTCTGATCAGGTTACTTAATTCATTCGGTGTAATCCTGTGTTGATCTACTGTGAGTATCTTAGAACTAAAATCTGGATCTTGTGATGTTGAAGGCTCAAGTAATTTAGCTTTAGCATAATCTTATTCTTTGTCTTCAGATTCCAGAGAATAGTCTGCTGATGGATGAGAAATAAAGAGTTCTGTTTTTTTTTTGCTCCCTGTGTCATGTAGCCTTTTAAACTTTTTCATAAGATGTAACTGTCAGAGCTTATTAAATTCCCATTAAATTGAAGGAAGAATTAATAGAAGCTTTGAGTTTAATTATTTTATATAGCAATTAGCTATATAAAATATAGCGATTAGATTTAATTATTTTTTACTCTTTTTAAGATATAACTACAGCATAGCCTGCTATATTGCAATTATATGGCCCGCTACATAGCCTTAAATAATCCAATATATAGGTACTACATACCCCGCGGGCTACCTGCACACTACATAATTGTTGTACAACATGCTACATAACCTAATAACATAATATAGCGACTACATAACCCGATCATAGCTATGACATAGCCAGCTACATAGCTACTGCATAATCTGTGGTCCTCAACATAGCTACTACTTAAATATGTTGTCCGCTACATGCATGTATTCTTATCATATTTTAAACTAATTTTAGCGATGTAAAAACAAAAGTTAAAAAAGTGAAAAAATAGTTTAATTTTAACAAAAAAAATTTAAACAAATGTATTACCTGATTTTGCGATAACAAATTAAAAGTTGTTCACGTTAATTTGACGTCAATTAAGATCAAATAAATTGCAATGGCGTTTTTTTTTTATTGTTTGAAAACAATTTTTTTTAAATAAAATGACCATATAGCTTTATTTAAAAAATTTTCTAAAATCTCTTTCAGATCAATTAAAATCGTTTTTTACTTTTTCTCTATGCAACATAGATTTTGAGTTTACCTTGAAAAACAAAAATGTCCACAGATAAACAGGCATACTTATATATATATATATATATATATATATATATATATATATATATATATATATATATATATATATATATATATATATATATATATATATATATTTATATATATATATGTGTATATATATATATATATATATTTATATATATATATATGTGTATATATATATATATATATATATATATATATATATATATATATATATATATATATATATATATATAAATTATATACACACACAGGTATACATATGAATATATATACACCCTTTTCCAACATTTCTAACAACTTTAGTTGTAGACACACACACACATATACATATGAATGTATATACATTCATATGTATATGTGTGTGTTTTTCAACATTTCTAACAACTTTAGTTGTATCAAAACATTTCTTGCAACTTGGCAAATTTGTGTTCTTATAGCTTCTGTATTTTAGGATTTGTTTTTGGTTTGTAATAACAATGTATGCAAACTGTGAAAATGTGACTTAGGTTATGAGTATAAATTGAAAAATTATAACAGAGGTTGTATTAAAATCATAAAACTTTGTTTTTCTAGGAGATGAAATTCGCAGGTTGGTGACAGAATCAATAATACCCTATGTATTAGAAAAAATAACTGCACGTCGTCGTCTTGCAAAAAGTGCATTGATCAAAAAAAATGAAGATATTAAATTTAATGACAGCGAAGTTAATATTTTTATTATTATTACTGTTTGAATTTTTTTGTTTTTGTTGTTAATGGTTTGAAAAATTATCTTTAAACAAAAAAAAGAGTAGTCTTCTCGACTATGGTATGGATATGGTATCTATATAAAAATCTTATCATTTTATTTCTGTTGTTTATTTAGTTAAATTGTTTATTTTATTTATTAGGTTATTTTTTTTTTTTAGATACTTGAAAATTTAGAGCTTGATGAATATGAACCTTTTGATGATTACATAGAAATGGTCACTCAATATGGTGTATGTAATTTTTTTTTTTTTTTTTTTTGAGTCCTCTTTTGTTCATTATTTAAATAAACGATTTACCATCAGTTATCAATTATTTACCTTTTAAATTGTATGTTGATGATTGCAAAATCATAGCAACAATCATAGCAAGAAATCATGGCTCATATTCAAAATGCTTCAGATTCAGATAAGCTACAGCTCGATTCAAATATTATTTCAGAATGGTCTGATAATGGTACATTATGACTGAAATACAAACTGAACTGAATGAATGAACATGAAAATGAACTGCAAAAAATGTTAAGTGATGCATATAGGTAAAACAACTCCCAAAAATTTTTATGTTTAATGCTGCATCTTCCACCACCCTAAATCTTTTGAAATTTGAACAGGAGCATGATCTCGACATCTTCACGTCAAATGATAAGTGGGATACGCATGCTTCCGAGTTTGTCTAAAGCTGATATCATTTTAGGATGGATGAAAAATTCATTTATCAGTAAAGACACCAACCTATGAAAAAAACTATATACACTGTATACACATAAGTATATACATGTCAGACCATTTGCACGATTAGTCTATAATACTTAATCAAAATCAGCAAAGTAATAGTAGTTAAACAAAACGCATTAAACATGTTCAGCAAAATAAGTGTAGGACTTACATACGCCTTCAAAATGTCTAAAATTTATAAGTCTAAGACATTTAAATTAGTTTATTTGTTTTTTTTATTTATTTTAAAATGTGTTTTGGAAGGTTAAATCTTAAAAAGAAAACTCAAATTGTGATCTGTGAAGAAATGATTAATAAAATAATAATTATAAAGATAACTAATAATTTTAAAAAATAAACAATGTGATTAACTTATAATTTTATTAGAAAAAAAGTTTATTTTTTTTAAATGATTCTGCTAAAATTTTTATGAATAAAAATAAAACACAGAAGAGCAAATTAGCTTAAGTACGGTCAACATTCATAAAGTTTAAATTGCTTTTGAAAAGAAACATTTTTAACTTCCAATATAAAATTTTTCATAAATATTTTTTAATAAATAAAAGACTTTGTTTTCTATAATAATATGTAAAAAAAAAAAAAAATGTTATTTCTGTTGTTGTTTTCCTGATAGAAACTAAATTTATTATTTTTGTGATATATGTAAGCAATTGCTTACATTTCACAAAAAGATTTGATGGCATAATGCATGTTTTAAAATTATAACTTGCATATAAATAACTAACAATAGTTAGTGTGGCTGTCAACTAATGTAATAATTGTTTGGCTGTCAACTATAAAATGTATTTTATAAAATTTAGTAGGAATTTATTAAATTGCTCATTTATTTGCACAAATTGCAGAGTTTTTTTAATTGTACTTACTATTTTTTTTTCATGTCTCACAAATAAAAACATAAGTTACATGTCATACATGAGTACCTCACTTTTTTCAATAATCCTGATATTTGGATTACAGCTTTTTAATTTAGGCATTTTAACAGCCATAAGAGTTTGTTTTGATTATGTTCAATGTTTTAAAATCAAAAATAAAATTGATACAATTGTACTACAAACATCAGCCAACCTTTTTAAAAAATTATCCAACCTTTTCAAACACCAGCCAACCTTTTTAAAATCCATTAGGTTATTAAAAAAAAATTAATAAAGAACAATTACATAAAATGTAAATGTACAGCTTACACTGCAAATATCATTGATGCTTTGTTTCAGTAGTCTTTTCTCCTTGCAGTTAGTATAAATATATACTAACTGATCAATCATAATTGTTCAGAGCAAAACATATTTATGATTTGTAGATAAAAGCTTTTAAGAAAGTATATTTAATAAACAATTCGGCAAAGTTAATTGAACTTTGGCGAATTGTTGTCAAAAAGTAGTATCATTCGCATCTTTTTTTCCTGTATAGCATTTTACATAGCACAAGCTTTTTCTTCGCTAAAACATTTAGACAAGTTGAATGTTTTGGCTTTTCAATCAGTTTGGCAAACAGTAACATCAGTATTTTAGGCATTTTAATCATTTGATTTGATAGTGTTTGTAAAAAAGAAAAAAAGATGCAACCCTACAGCGATGGGAGAAAGGGTCAAGCTTGGCATATAAAGCAGATCCAACTGCATTTACATTTTTTTTGACCTTGTCTAGAAGAGAAAAAGTATCATTAGAAGAACCAGCCCAAATGTGACAACAGCATTCCATACAGAGACTAATAAGAGATTTGTAGGGGTAGAGAATAGAATCAAGAGTAAAAAATGGCAAACACGATAGAGAACATCCTTAGAAAATGCCAATTTTGCAATGGATAGTGAATGATAATATCAGAAGATGTAAAGTAAAGGGCTCATTCCAATCATCGTTATTGGAATGTCAACAATATTGTGATTGCTGTTTGCAGTAAATAACTTTTTTTGGCCTTTAAGGGCAATTTTAAAACTGCAGTTAGAAATAAATTGTTTGGTAATTTCAAAAATTATCCCATGAATTAAGCTTATGGAGAAAACGAACATGCAAAACTTTATTAAAAAGTTTTGATATATCAAGAGCAAAAGCTCTTGCCTTGCCACCTTCATCTGATACACAATAGATTCTTTCAGTTGCAATTGTTAGCATGTCGGTCATAGAACGAGAAGATCAAAATCTGTATTGATAGTCAATAAAGTAAGTTATTAGACTCAAGATAAAATGTTAGAAGTTTGTTGATCAAACTGATGATAATTAATGATTTTAGAGTTTTCCCCAGAATTTTTTAAAATTGGAACCACAGATGCCATTTTCCAGCAGGCAAAAAAAAGATTCAGTCAAGCACTTGACTGAAATATTAAAAAGAGTTGTTTGGACCACAAGTTGTAGAAGATTTTAATTGAGAAACCACTTTAGAAATAAAAGTCAGAATGATTTGGACGTCTAACAATTGGTTAATCTGATTAACTGGAATGGTAGGAAGAGTATGGCTGTTAGATTCAAGAGTTGAATTCAAGGAAAAGTTCTTTGTAAATAATTCTTTCTTATCCTTGATAGAGGTAATAAGATCAGACCCATGAATTAAAGATGGTATGTTTGACTTATTTTTAGTGTATCAACAGTGCTATTATTATTGTAATGGTACTCTTGAAAGTTTTCCATTATTCTTTAGAGCCTAGCTTTTGAGATAAGATACAAGATTTAGTAAATTGAGATATCTTTCTTAGTTTATAATATATTTATTTTTCTCTATTATTGTCTTTTTTACTGTTACTTTGCATACTACACATACTATATATATTGTTGTGTTTTTTTTAGTTTTATTTACTTATTTTTTTCTAGTATGTGACTCTTTTTGCATCCGCATTTCCATTATGCTCTATTATCACGGTTCTGTTTTTGTTTATTGAAGCACGCTCAGATATGTTTAAAATTATGTTTTTATGCCGAAGACCTCATGTTCGCAGGTTTGTTTACTTTTAATTTTAGAAAATTTATTATCAAAAGTTGTATCAAATAAATGAGCATAATTGCTGTCTTCTAGCAACCACATTTTTGTTGAGCTTTGGCCCAAAAAAGTTTAGTTTAAAAAAAAATTTTCGCTATTTTGAAGTTGTTGATTTGAACATTGTTGTTGATAAACATTCACACTAATAACCTACTAGGTGTCTTATTAAAAATTAAAGTTTTACTTAAGAAAATATATTATGCAAATGCAAATAGAAAAATGTAATCTTGTTTACCTAAAATAATATTTCAAAATTTTGAATTTGAAACATTGAGTTCCGAAAATCTCAAAGATTTTAATATTTTTCGTATCATTATATATTATATTGATTTTTATTTTCATTATTAGCAAGAGAACGTATTGAATCAAAAATAAAAAAATTGTTTAATTGATTATAAACATGTTTAATTATAAATCTACAAGTGTTTAACTTATATATAAAGCAAAAGTTTATAGAAATTTAAAAAATATTGGTGTCTGCAGAATTTAAATTAAATTTTAAAATCCTAATTGTATATTTGAACCTGATAGCCTTTATGTAGTTAATGATTCAATACTAAAATCAAAAGTACAAAATTTTAGATTAGTGTCACAGAGAGCCAATAAGTGTATTTTATAAGTGCAGCGGCAGATTGCTTGTTTTGTAAGCAACAGTTATGTAGTCTCTTTAGGTTATAAATAGAAATAAATTGTTTTTATGACTGTAGTATCCCCCTCTGCTTTGGGGAGGTGAAATTATATTTTAGGATATTTACAGATGATGATTCTTTTTTAATGTTTTGTCCATGCTTGCGCAACTCAAATGGTTTTTCTAGAAGATTTATCCATAAATTTTTCTTATTGACATTTCCATAATGATATCTCTCTAATTTGATATCTTCTAATGAAGATCTGCTTAAGGCCTTTGCATGTCTTCAATTCTAAACTTAAAATATTTAAATGTAATAAAAAATTGTTTCTTCATTTAGAGTTACACTCTGGTTTAAAAGATCAACTTAACAAAATAAGTTTTTGAAATTACACTCTGGTTTAATAGGTTAACTTTACAACATAAACTTTTGAAGTTATATTCGGATAACTTTACAACAAGCTTTTCAAGTTTTGCTCTGGTTAAAAATTTAAGAATAAGTGAGAAAAGAAAATAAGATAAAACACTTACAAAATAAAATTTCATTTAAAAAACTCGGATTCAATTTTAAAACTTTTAAAATTTTGTATGTAGTAAAAAGTGTTTGCATTTGTCTAATTCGTTGTCTAATTCGTAATCATATAAAGTATTGCACTAAAGATAAATAGTCATAATTTAGTACGCTATAATTTTATTCAGTTGACTGTTTGGTGTTTATAAAAAACAAGTGTTTAAATGACAAAATTGTTTGCTAGAGTAACATGTATTTATTCATTAAAATTATTTATGGAGAGATGGTAATAGTCGGAGCAGAGTATTTTTTTATGGAGAGGGGGTAATAGTCGGAGCAGATTACTTTAGCACTCTGCTCCGAATAATACCCCTTCTCTATAAATAATTTACTATTACTTTATTTAGATGAGAAACAAAGAGAGTTATGTTTGCATATTTTAAAATTGAACTCTAAGAAACATTTTTTGATTTTCATAAGATTGAAATAATGTCTAAAATAATTTATTTATTTTATATCAACAGAGCAAGGAATATTGGAGTTTGGTATAAAGTACTCACTTTAATGACGTTAGTATCAATGTTAACAAACTGTTTCCTGTTTGGATTTGCTAGCGAACAATTGGCCGAGTGGGTACCAGATATGTATGAAACACGTGATGATGGTGATCGGTGGATAAAGCTTGGAAGTGGAAGGTAAATTTTGTGTTAGTTAAAGATCTTTATAGATCTTCAAAGTGTCAAGCGATAAGATAACAATTTGATTTATTTCATTTATAGGTACATTGTCGGATTGGTATTTGTTGCAGAACATATACTCATTTTATGCCTCGTTTTGTCTCATTATCTAATTTCTGATGTTCCAATAGCTGTTAAAAATGAACTTGCAAGGCGAGAGTATGTTAAAAAGCAAGAATTTAAATCTTTAAAGGAAAGAAAGAAATCATTAGAATAATTACTTGTTGCTGTTGTTTACATTAGTATTCTATATTATATAATAGTGGTGGCATACTTATTTTGTATAATCAGTAACTTAGTAATGAATAAGTCTGTAATTTGTCCAACTGCTTCACACATGTTTTATAGGTTCAGTTCTTAAAACTCAAAAACATTTTTTACTTTTTAAACTAATAAAGAAAGTTAACATTCATAACAATTTTGTTTAAATTTTTTTGACAAAGCTTAGCTTGCTGTTTACTAAAATCGTTAATTGGTTGCGTAACTGTTTGTTTCTCGTGTTTAAGGTTTCTATTTTTATATTAAATATTTTTTTACGCATTATGAATATCTTTATATTTTTGATATTTTTTTAATTCAACACATTTTTATTACCTTGTTATATTTTTATACATCGTATATAGTAAAAAACACAAATTACTTATTTGCTATATTACTGTATTGTTTTACAATTATTTTCACCATTATTTTGCTTCGACTTTTTGATCGTTATTCTAAAAATATCTTAAAAACGAATATTAATTATCAATTAGCATATTTCACACGCTATGGTCTAGACACCAGTTATTGAACTGTAGGGACAAATATCAATATTACGTTTCTTTACATTTAGTTGCCATAATGTGATAAGAGTTGTATATTAAGCAAAGCACCTGCATGTATTCAACGATCCCGCCTCAACGCATCATTTATTACAAAAGTGGGGTTACTTTTGTAATAAATTAACGCATAAATTTTTCAAAATGTAAAAAACATAAATTTTTTTAGTAATTTTGACATTCGATTCTATGTTACATAACATGCTTGAGTCGATATTTATTTAAATGAATTTTTATTTTCTCTCTTTGTTTAAAAAAATACCGATACCCAATTATTTTATCATAGTCGATCTTGCAGAACCGGAAACTTAAAGCGCATTTGTTAAAAAGTTACTTTTTTTATAATCAAATTTTTAAATAGTCAATTTTACTTAAAAAAAAATCAAAAGACCTTTTAGACCATTTCCACTTATCTTAATAAAGAAAGGTTCTAGTTTTCCTAATTTTTATTACTTTACTAATTTTTGAATACGCTAAACGTTGAAATCCTGCACGCGATCATTGATAATCTTAAAAGTGAGTTTTGTTTGTAGGGTTGTTGCGACATCGGTTAGGAAGGAGGCGTAAACTTTCAATTAAACGCTCATCCACAGTACTCTGTTATAAGACCGTAAGGACTTCTTGAGGCGCCAAAATAAAATTAAAAAAAAAAATTCTAATGAACGTATGCGTATGTATACGTGAATGCAGGGCCGACAATACAGCGGGGACCCAGGGACATTGCTCCTTACTCCCTCTCCACGCACACTACTTAGTGAATGCAATAATTAGTAAGTTAATAAAAATTTCTCATTTAAAATAGTTTTTTCTTTTATTTTTAATTTAGATTTGGATCCGGATCCATCTCTTCAAAATCCATTGAAAATCAAGATCTCTTGAAAATGAAGGTATTATCGAGATCAGGATCTTTTTTTTAATTTTAAAAAATTTCAATATATAGAGGGCTTTTTTTTAGAAATTGGCGATTGTGTCCACCACTTCGAAAGCCGTGTCGTCGGCCCTGACGAATACATATCTACATATAGATAAAATAAAAGAAAATACTAAAGCATATGCTTTTGTATTTTCTGCATTAATTTTTTATTGTACTCTATAGTACAATAAAACTCTGCAAAACTCTTTACTGTATCTACATTAACTTTTTGTGTTAAGCATATATATGCTTATAACAAAAAAATAATGCAAATAAGGGCTCAAAGAAGATGAAGATAATACTACGTTATCACATTCTTTTCATAGACAGGTTTAAGTAATATATCGTATTGGAAAAAAAACTTGTATAAAAAAAGTAATAATATTAGTTATGGTTAAAGGTCGTTTTAGTCAAAACAAAAATATATTAATTTTAAAAAAAAAAACTTTTTTTATGATAAAATTAAAAAAAAAAAAAATTTCATATGAAACCCAAACGATATAAGGACTTCTCTTTTAATTTATAATCCTTTTGATAGCCATTCCATAATTTTGGTCATCGATAAGATATAAAAAGTTCTAAGAGTTTTAAGAGAGAACTTATAGATGTTGTTTCCGTTTGACTACACTTTTTATTAAGATGTCAAACTTGTAGTGGAAGTTTGCTGGCAAGTGGTGTTTTTAATATGCACACATAAAAATTAGATTCTTGTAGATATTTATTTCAGTTATAGCCATCATTTTCATATCATCAATAAGAGATTTTGCATGTAAGATGTTTTGTTAGATGTGTTAATGTTCATGTTCTTATTAATGTTTAGAGTATATATTAGGTGAGCGTGTTTTTCAAGTCTATAAATTTTTTGAAGTTTTTTATTTTGCCTACTTGCTAATGATAGATTGTCATAGATTTAAAGAAAAAAGTGAATTAGCCTAAAATGTATTAACTTGAGACTATGACGTATATATTGATGAATGGTCGTATATATTATCTATTGTATTGTATATATCGTATTAGGGGTGTCCCAAATAGCATTTTTTAATTATCCGGCCGGATATCGGATACCCGGATATTTAACAATTATGTAAGGTAAATATTACACTAAGACAAAAGTTACCGTAATAACCCTTCAAAATGGCAAGTTTTATTTGGAAACTTTTGAAAATTAGTGATAACTGTGATTCTATAGCTATTTGCATTCCATGTGGAAAGCAGATATAAATCAGCAGTCAAAAATCAAAGAAATATAACTGGACTTTTATCAGTTGTTATTAGTAGAGCTACCAGCTTCACCACCATTATCTCCAATCATTTAACGCTAAAATCCAAAAAAAAGAAGAGAATGACTTTAACACCTGCTTGCAGAATATTGCAGAATATGAAGGAAATTTAGGTAAGATAATCTCTTTCTGTTTATTAAAAAAGTTTTTAATAATTTTAAAAACTTTTTTGATAAACAGAAAAACTTTTTATTAAGTTTTTTTTTTTAATAACAGCTACTAGCTGCATGTTGTGGGTTTACTGATTTAAGTATTATATACTTGTTATTGAATGAAAATATATAAATAAATCATCTTTAGTATTTAAATTCTTTTATATTACAAAACAAAATGGTGAAATAAATCCTGATCAAGTCTCCTTGTAAAAGTTGCTCAAGAAGTTGATTCTTTCTTTATCACTCGATGATAGAAAACAAAAAAGACGTTTTTAATTATTGGAAACACAAAGAGAAGTTTCCACGTCTAAAAGAGTTAACTCTTAAATTATTAGCACCTCCAGCATCCTCTGTATTTTCGGAGCAATAATTTTCCAAATATCGAAATACTTACAAGATCAAGGCTGTTACCTCAACGTGGAGACATGTTACTATTTATTCATTATAATGGAAATAAACTTATAAATGAGTGATAAACTGATGTATTAGTAGTATAACATTTCTTGGTTTATTAAATCTTTAAATTTTTAAATAACATTAATTTGAAATATCCGGTTTATCCTTTTTTTTTTTTTTTTTTTTTTACAATATTTCAAATAAAAATATATAATAATAGATTTACATATAAATATAATGGTCGTTATTAGAAAATAAAAGAACGCGGAGACTCGTAGAAGATCATACGGTCTTGTCGTCGAGTACCGCTAAGAAATGTTCGTGTTAAAATTTAAAAGATAATTACAAGATTAAAAAATAAAAATAAGTTAACAAAAGTAAGAAACTTAAAATACTCCATAATAAATACAAGATGCGTTATATCTATTATATATGTAAATTATAGTTGTTAAGGATACACATATACTTTTTAAAAGTTCATGTTTAAATAAATGGTAAAAATAACGAACACAAAAAATATCAGAAGTATATTGTTAAATCATCGATTGTAAAAATGAGTTCTTTAAGCTTTTGTTTAAAAGGAAAAAAGTTACTTTGATTAATAAAATCCTCAGTAAAATTTTTTAAAACTATTTTATTCCATAAGAATGGTCCGCGATAATCAATACAAAATTTAAAAAGATTTGTTTGAAATCCAAAACCGGATAATATTATTATCCGACCAGATAACGAATATCGAATAATACTAATATCCGGTCCGGATATCCGGCCGGATAGCTTATCCGGGACACCTCTATATTGTATATATTGATTGTGGCAAAGGTTTTTTCTTGGCACTGTCAGTAGAAATGAAACCAGCTCACCGCCACAACAACAATCTCTCACTGAAAAAACTAGCAAAGATACTAGAGTCAAGAGACAAATTCTTGTTGTGGTATCATAAGATTTGCCAGAAACTCATTCCAATAATGAACAAATCTTATCACTGATTTATGCAAATGGAGTTAAACTAGTTTGCGGCAGTTTTTGCGACAGTTGCAAATATATATATTTTTTTTATTATTTAGGTGCCCTTACGGACTTATCGCGATGTTATCTAATGATAACTGGTGCAAGCGTAATACCCAAAATTCACACCATTTTCTACCACATCAAAGTTTTCATCAATCACAAAAGATCCCCCTTTGGCCCTTATAATAAACTGTCGAAACTGCTCATAAAGATTTTATCAAAATTGGTCAAGGTATAAGAGAGATAATAATCATCCAGAATACAAAAAAAGACTATTGCGCTGCATAATTGATCTGGACATCAATTATGTAGCATAGTTTGAGTTATTAGAGATTAGGCAGCAGAAATTCATAGCTTACGGTTTATAATGAACATATTCACCATCTTAATATTTAAATACTATTAGTTTAAATCTATAAATTTTTATATAGTATTGTAATAGTTTTATAGAGTATTTGTATTAAAAGATTATACTGAGGTATTTATCAATAAAGTTTTTGTGAATAAAATCAAAGAACAGTTAAAATGTAATCTGATATTTGATGGTGATACAATGTAAAAAATAGGCTTTAAATAGTAATTTTTTCACTTAATTTTAAAAATAAGTTACCTAAGAAGGTTTCAAGAGTCA